CATAGAAGAGAGTCATGAAGAGTGACCCTGAACTAGATCGGGTCAGTAGGAGCAGTGGGGAGTCAGTGTTCTCAGACATACAATAGAATGCCACAGGCTGGCCTCGACACTCCAGGAACCACACTTGGTGACTAAGAGTACAATTCCCATCTCAGCTTTATTATGAAAAGGCATTTATTTCAACTGCAAGACTTTTTGGTAATCGACACTATTTGAATAAAATACTAGGAACCAGAAAACTTCCATTCAAAATCTGTACTTTTTTCCTGGGCATAGTGACACATGCCTGCAATCCAGCACTTGGGCGGTGGAGGCAGGTGGAGTTGGAGTAAAAGGGCCACCTCCTTGGCTACATAGGGAGTTCTAGGCACCATGATCTACAAAAGACCCTATGTTGAAATAAATATATGTATATTATATATACATATACATATAAACTTTTAAAGATATATATATGTATGTATATTTTGTTGTTGTTGTTGTTGTTTTGAGACAGGTCTCTCTGTAGCCCCAGCTGTCCTGGAACTATGTAGACCAGGCTGGCCTCGAACTCACAAAGATCCGCCTGCCTCTGCCTCCCAAGTGCTGGGATTAAAGGTGTACACCACCATGCCCAGCTAAACATTTATTTGAAATTATGTATATGATTGTGGGTATGGCTTCAGGCATCAGATCTTCTGAAACTGGAATTATAGATGGTTGTTGGCTGCCATGTGGGTGCTGGGAACTGAGCCCAGGTCTTCTGGAAGTCTTTTGTGTCTGTGTGGATATGCACGTGCCATGCCATGATGTACATCTGAAAGGCAGAGGACAGCTTCGGGGAGTGGATTCTCTTTCCACCATATGGGTCCCAGGGATCAAACTGCGGTTGTGAGGCTTGGTGGAAATCACCTTTACCCACTGAGCCATTTTGCCAGGCCTTGTTTCCTTTTACAGTAAAGAAATTACTTCTCACAAACTCACTTTGGGTTCCAGTAGTTAACAGTTTGACAATGAGTTTATTTACCAAGGAGAATGAACTTCATAAGACAGCTGTGATTAATGGTTCAGTAGGGGAAACCTTTATCTAGAAAATTATTTTTCAGATCACTAGTATGAAGTAATTGGAGACAGCTGGTTGGTTCTTAAAATTTTAGTTTTCAAACTTAAAAACCCAGCATCACTTCCCCTAAATGCTAAAGTTAGGTGACAGCTTTTCCTTTGTGAATGATTTACTTTACACCAGCAATACACCTGTTAGATTTGAATGTTCCATAAGTTCAGGGGCATGAGGAGGACAAATTTCTTTCATTCTGCGTTTGCATCAGAGCTGACCCTTTAGGAGGCTATCCAGGTCGCTGAATGGTAGACTGCTGCTTCCCACAAACGAGTCCTGGACTGGATCTTAACAAAGATGAGTAACTGAAAGAGCTGTATGGAGGTAAAGGGCTGTAACTCTAGCACAAGAAGCTGAGGCAGGAGGATACCCAGTTGGAGTCAAACCTGGTGTCCTACTTTCTATTGCTGTGACTTAAAAAAAAAAAACAAAACAAAACACTGACCAAAACCAACTTGGAGAGAAAAGGGTTTATTTGGTTTACAGCTCACAGTCCATCATGAAGGGAGGCCAAGGCAGGAACTCAGGGCAGGAGCACATACCACGGAGGACACTGCTTACTGGCCTGTGTGTTCAGCCTGCTTTCTTATACAGCACTGAACCATCTGCCCAGGGCTGGCACCGCCCATAGTAGAAAGGGCTCATCACTCAACAATCAAGAAAATGCTCTATGGAGCTGGAGAGATGGCTCAGCAGTCAACAGCACTGTCTGATCTTGCAGAGGACCCAGGTTGGGTTCCCAGCTCCTACATGACAGCTAACAACCATCTGTAACTCCAGTTCCAGAAGATCCGATGTTCTCTTCTGACCTCCTCGGGCACAGCATGACACAGGTGCACTTACATGCAGGCAGTACACTTATACACATAAAAAATATGTAACTGCTGGGTGTGGTGGCGTACGCCTTTAATCCCAGCACCTCGGGAGGCAGAGGCAGGCAGATCTCTGTGAGTTCAACCAGCCTGGTCTACATAGTGAGTTCCAGGACAGCTGGGGCTACAGGGAGACCCTGTCTCAAAAAGACGAAAAAAAAAATGTAATTATAAAAAAGAAAATGCCAAGCTGGGTGTGGTGGCACATGCCTGTAGTCTCAGCACTTGGGAGGCAGAGGCAGGCGGATCTCTGTGGGTTCAAGACCAGCCTGGTCTACATAGTGAGTTCCAGGACAGCTGGGGCTACAGGGAGACCCTGTCTCAAAAAGACGAAAAAAAAAATGTAATTATAAAAAACACACACACACACACACACACACACACACATGCCCCACAGACATCCAATGGAGGAAGTTCCCTCCACCCAGCTGTGTCAAGTTGAAAACCAAAGCTGTCCTGTACACCTGGGCTACAGGACTTTTTGTCCCAGCTGTGTTGTATCTTTAAGAAACATTGTTTCCCCTTAAACTCATTCACTTCCCAAGAGGACTGTAACTATTGTATTTATTGTTATTTTGTTTTGTTTTTTTAAGACAGGGCCTCACTGTGTAGCCCTGGTTGGCTGTGTAGACCAGACTGGCTTTGATGTCACAGAGATCCTCCTGCCTGCTTCCGAGTGCTGGGATTAAAAGTGTACACCACCACACTCAGCTCTTATTTTTTGTTTGGGTGTACTGCCTACACGTATGTAAGTGCACTCATGTGTATGATACCCATGGATGTCAGAGGAGAGTTTAAGATCCCCTGGAACTGGAGTTATGGAGGGGTGATAGTTGTCAGTGGGTGCTAGGAACTGAACCCTGATCCTCTGCAAGAGCAGTCAGTGCTGTTAACTGCTGAGATTATCTCCCAGTTCCTAGATTTTCTTTTTTAAACCAAGTCAATATTCAAGGTTTGCTTTCTGAAAACCAAGTTCCTGGAACTAGATGTTTACCAATAGGCATAAAACCAGAATTATCAAGAAGGTGGAGTGAAGCTGTCTAGAAAAAGCCCAAGGACAGAGGTTAGACACACACAGTGGCATAAGGGAAAGATGCCTAGGCTGTAATCCAAATCTGGACTCCACTCCTGGGTGACAACTGCTGGGTGACCTTGGCTTGTTGGCACCCTGCTGCTGTTTTACAAGAAACAGAAAACCAGAGGGTTTTCTTACAATTCCAACTAAGACTGTAAGTCTTCAATCAGGACAACTTGCTAGGGAGCCAAAATTAGATGAGGCATTTCTAGACATGCAGAAGTTTGTGCCTCACCAGCCTCACGGACTGTCTCCATGGTGCTTTGCTGGTTTGGGTTGAGCTGGGGTTTTGCTTCATAGGTCAGGCTGATCTTGAACTCTTTCCTCTGCCTCAATCTCTTGAGATTTCAGGAGTATGACCACGCCCAGCTACCCTGCTTGTTTTTGAGGCAGGGTCTCAGGAAGCCTGTCCCAGTTCCAGGCACATGCAGCTAAGGATGACCTCAAATTCCTTACCCTCCTGCCTCTGCCTCCTAAGCGCTGGATACAAGACTGTACCACCATACCCACCAGGCCATGGTTCTTGGCATTGGAAAACCACTCAAACTGGTCTTTGTAACTGTATCACTACCCTAGCCCATTACAATCAGCAGCAATACTTTTAAAACCTGCACATCTGCCTGATTCTAGTTTATTATTTTTAACTTTTGGGTTTTTTGGACTTTTTGAGACAGGGTCTCCCTGTAGCCCCAGCTGGCCTGGATCTTGCTATGTAGACCAAGCTGGCCTTGTTCTCACAGAGATCTGCCAGCCTTTGCCTCCCGAGTGCTGGGACTAAAGGCATGCCCACCTCACCCAGCTGACTGTGCTAGTTTAGAAGCTATTTACGGAACTTTGTCTCCTCACACAAATTCTATGTAACTGAGGATGACCTTGAGCTCCTGTGAGCTCCTAATCCTCAAGCCTGGACTCCGAGTGCTGGGATTCCAGGTGTGCAACACCACAGTGGGATAGGCCCTAACATGTGCCCATACCCCAATGAAAGCATGAAGTTATAGAGACAGTGAAAACCATGTACACAGGAAGATCGCCCCGATGGGCAGAGAAGCTGGGAACACACCCTTCCTTCCTGACCCTCAGAAGAAACAAACCACCTCCACCGGAGCCTTCACTTTGAACTTTGGCCTTCAGAACTGAGGTGATTAGATTTAAAAACGAGACCTGGTTTGTAGTTTTGTTGCAGCAGCCACAGGAATGCAGCTGGTCAGCCTGCTCTACCACATGCCAGCAACCCTCCATCCCATCATCCCAGCTCTGTGGAACACTTCAGTGGGTCTTCTCGACCTCGAGATAATTTGATGCCAGAGGGCCTCCCATGCCTCCACAGTTACACACCGAAGATGAATCCCCAGGAGCTCCAGCAGCAGAGAAGCTTCTTATATGAAGACGAGCCACCAGCCATGGAGTGTGTGATGGGTGTGTGCTTACCATCTCATGCCTCGCCGGTCCTCCCTGTCCCTGTTTTGTGAGGCTTAAAAGAATTAGTGTGCTCGAGGAGGAGCATGCCTCACACCTATTCCCCAGCACATGGGAGGTGGAAGCAGGAGGACATATAGTAGGGCTATAGCACCGGCTTTGTTATTAGAAGCACCAGCAGGTGCAGTGCCCACTGCCAGCTCATCAGCCATGCAGGAAGGCACATAAACGTCTGTATTCTGTCACCTTTACTTCTAATAGTGCAATGATTTGACTTCACACATGAAAAACTAAGGTGTCCTGAGTTTAAAACAGCAAAAGCAACAGCACTGGTGGTTAAAGGAGACTGTGGTCAGCTTCTTCAGTACCTTTGTTTCCATTCACGAACCTGGCGCCTACGCTAGAGACTGGTCAAGAACCACCAAGCGACAACTACGCACTGCGCTCAACTGAAACACAGCGAAGGTGTTTGTATCCTGAAAAGGCGGCGCATCCCAAAAGCTAACCAGCAGAACCCGCCAAGCAAATCACGTAAGCTGCATCCATTTTCACACCTCAAAAAAAGACATTTATTCTTTTCCATAAACACTATGTAGCGAGAACAGTCAGGTTGTGTCATGGACTGGGAGGTGACTGATTAACTCCCTTTCGTTTCCAAACCGCATCAGGCAGTCGCTGCATTTGTGAGGCAGGTCGGAGGAGTGCTTGAAATCGAGGTGGATTTTCAAGTCTTCAATCTGTGCTGTTGAGTACTCACAGTACTGACACAAGTAGATGCCCTCAGATAAGTGTGAGCTGAGGTGCTTGCAGTACTCCAGCATGCTGGAGAAGCCCTTCCCACAGTCGTCACAGACGTGCGGGAAGATCTTTGTGTGCTCAATGGCCACGTGCCTGTTCACGTTCGTGTGAAGTCGGCTCCGAAACCCGCAGACCTGACACACAAAGAAGTTCTTGCACTTGTCGAAGGCGATCTTGCTCAGGAGGCCGTACCGGCCGTGCTCGGCACCGCTGCGCTTGTCGCTCAGTTCGATCAGCTTGCAGGCATGCTCGTTCACCACGTGGCTGTGCAGGTCCTCAGGGTCGCCGGTCTCGTGCTCACAGAACTGGCACAGGTACTGCTCGTCACAGCTGTGCTGTTGGAAGTGCAGGTACAGGTCGCTGCTGGAGGAGAACTGCACGTCACACTGCTCACACCAGTACAGGTGGGCGCCGAAGTGGATGTCGGCGATGTGCTGGCTGAGGTTCTCCAGGATCACGGTCTTGTAGTCACAATACTTGCAGATGTAGGGGTCCTCCCCATGGAGCTTGGTGTGCTCGATAAGCAGCACGCGGGTGGAGAAGCGTTCCTTGCACACGCGGCACACGTTCAAGTCGGTGCGCTTGTGCTTCAGGATCATGTGCTGCTTCAGGTCAGAGAAGTACTTGCTGTTGAACTCACACAGCTCACACTTGTAGAGGCCGCTGCTGTTGGCCCTCAGTAGAGGCCACTTCTGCTGGGCAGTCACATTCAAGGCTTGGCTCTTGTCAAGAATTTTACAGAGTTTAGCTGGAGGCTCCTCCTCAGTCTGGTCTGGGAGGCTCTCAGAGGAGTTGTTCTCCACGTCATAGTCCTCAGAAATGGCATGCACTTCTACTGCGATCGGGACGTCCTCGGCAGCGTGAACCTCGAGAGGGCCCTCCTCTTGAGTCTGCTGGGGTACGAGCTCCGGAGAGCCACACTCCTCATCACAAATTTCAACATCAGCAGACTTTTCTGAAAAAATAAAGCAGACCCCTTATCTTGAGTTTATCACTAAGACCTATTAGATAGTCACATCAAGAGTAGTTATGGTATGCCCTGCTTCTTAATGCATCTGCACAAAACATGCTAACTCCACTCGCGAATGAGCCCCTAACCTGCAGAAAAGGCAGTGCGCTCTAGAACCCTGAGCACAGGGCTGGGAACCAGGGAGCTCTGATTTCTGTTTCTGGTTTTGATTCCATCTGCAAATTTGGGCAGGTCACTTGCTGTCTCAGGATCAGAATCATCATCTGTAAAGGGATTTAGAAAAATATATCAAAGCATTAAACATCACAAAATACAGCAGTGTTTTAAAATCAACAGACACAGTTCAGATTTGGCAATGAACGAGCACAGTGTCCCCCGTACAGTCCCCACATGAAAGGGCACAGTGTCCCCCGTACAGTCCCCACATGAAAGGGTGCAGTATCCCCCGTACAGTCCCCACACGAAAGGGCACAGTGTCCCCCGGACAGTCCCCACATGAAAGGGCACAGTGACCCCCATACAGTCCCCACATGAAAGGGCACAGTGACCCCCATACAGTCCCCACACGAAAGGGCACAGTGTCCCCCGTACAGTCCCCACACGCAAAGAGAATGTGCCAAACAACCCACCCCTTTGCTTCTGTGCTCCATTTGGACTAGAATACACTTTCTGCACATCTTTAGCAATTTTAGGGCACTAAGACTAAGCCTTTATTCCTTCAGCCACGTTCCCTCCACGTTAGCATGGGGAACAGAGTAATGGTAAACAGAGGAAAATGGACTGCAGCATGTGTGGGGTTTTCAGACTTTTTACTTTGAGTATTTAACCTGCATGTGTCAAGTGTCATGCAATGCCCACTCAGGTCAGAAGGGGGCATCAAAGCCCCTGGAACTGGAGTTACAGACAGTTGTTAGCCGCAATGTGGGTGCTAGGAACTGAACCCAGATCCTCTGCAAGAGCAGCCAGTGCTCTTAACCGCTGAGCCATCTCTCCAGACCCCGACCCCCCACTTTGTGTGTGTGTCTGTGTGTTTGTGTGTGTTAGATTTTATTATAACCCCCCGTTTCCCCTCTATCAACACTTTACATTAGTATGGGTCACTTCTTAGAGTCAGTGGTTGACACGTGACTGTGGTACTGACAGTTTATTACTGACTGAAGCCTACACTTCAGCCAACCTTGGTTTTTACCTAATGCCTTTTTGGATCCCACATTACATTTAGCCATGTCTCTCTACAGGACTGGGATTTTTTTGTTTTAGACAGAGTCTCTTTGTACCTCCACCTGCCTCTGCCTCCCAAGTGCTGGGATTAAAGGCGTTGTTTTAAAAGACTATGGGGGAAGGGGTGTGCTGGAGAGATGGCTCAGCAGTTAAGACCACCAGGTGCTCTTACAGAGGACCCGGGTTTCATTCCCAGCTCCCACATGGCAGCTAACAACTGTCTCAAACTCCAGTTCTAGGTGATCTGATACCCTGTTCTGAACTCCATGGCCATTGCACAACACTGGTGCACTTACATCCATGCAGGCAATACACTCATACACATAAAATAATTTTTTTTTTTGAGGCAGGGTCTCCTTGTAGCCCCAGCTGTCTTGGAACTCACTATGTAGACCAGGCGGGCTCCGAACTCACAAATATCCGCCTGCCTCTGCCTCCCAAGTGCTGGGATTAAAGGCGTGCGCCACCACACCCGGCTAAAATAAAATTTTTAAAAATTAAAAAAGACTGAATACTGGTCAAACATTTTACAGAATTCTCTACTAATGGGATCTATTTCTTTTTTGCAGTTAGACTGAAATTAGGGTTCCTGGGGGGCAAACCGAGTGGTAAACTGCCATCTCCATCACTAGCTGCTGACCATCACTGGCTAATGTGGTGCCCAGGCCTCTCCACTGTGACGGCCTTCTTTCCTGGAGCCCACCTTCTGGAAGGAGGCCACGCTGCAGCCCACATTAAGGAGTCAGTTCCATCTCCTCAAGGCAGAGACACTGACACAGGTAACTGGGAATGTTTTGTGCAGGCAGATCTTCCCTCCTCTACTTATAGTACCTACAGTAGGACTCGGAGCTACAATTCAACGTGTTCTCAAAGGTTTTCAGCTCTGGCTATTGAAGGCCTTCTTTTCCCCTTCAGTGCCGGGCAGACCCCAGGCCTCCCATGTGCTGGAGAAGTCCTGCCAGTGAGCAGCCTCAAGAACACTTTCAGTCAACTCCATGCTCCTTCGGCGTGACCCTACTGTGTATGTGCATGTGTGTGTGCGTGCGCACGTGGTTCTGCTTTTGAACATTTCCCTATTTCCAGGCACTATCAGATGCTCCGAGCTCATCTGATCTCAGCTAACAGCAAAGAACACACATGGACTATCACAGACATAGCACAGTCTGTATGTGACCATCTGAGTTGATACTGAGCTCAATGTGGATCTACACTGATGCCAGAGTCTACACGACCTTGTCACAGATCAGGAGCAGCAGTAGCTATAGTCAGGAGGGTATATACACACTGTTATCATCTGCCCATGCTTCAGAAAGGGGTGAACAGACAACACAAGGCTGAGAGGCCCCAAATGCTTGCTCCGCCGTTCCCTTCTCTCAGCCCTGCAGACTGAGGTATGGCTGAGTGAGAGAGCTGAGGGGAGAACTATTCTGAACACACGACTGAAAGCATTCCCAACTCTGGTCGCTCCTGCTTTGCCAGCAACTTCTAGCCAACAAGAATGGTCAAGGAGTTTCCTTAAAAATGAAAAACCCTGGGGGCTGGAGAGACGGCTCAGAGGTTAAGAGCACTGGCTGCTCTTGCAGAGGACCCAGGTTCAAATCCCAGCACCCACATGGCTGCTAATAGCCCTAATTCCAGTTCCAGGGTTCGATGCCCTCTTCTGGCCTCCTGGGGCACTGCATGACATGGGTGCACTTATACACATGCAGGTAGTACGTGCATACACATAAAATAAATAAAAAAAACTTTGAGACCAGTCCACCCAAACACTAAAGAATATACTTTTTTCTCAGCAGCCCATAGAACAGTCTCCAAAATTAACCACATATACAAATCTCAACAAATTTAAAAAGAAAAAGAAAATATTCTGGAAAAGAGCCATACCTTTGTTGTCAAAATACTTGAAGTCTGGCTGTCTCATGGAACAGACGCTGTAACAATGATCAGAGAAGATGCCACTGAATCCGTCTGCGATTCTGCTTATGCCAGGGGCGTCTGAACAGAGAACAAACGGTGCAGTTATGACCTGACATTCCCACGTTTTCCATTTTTCCTAGAGATGCTAAGGATTGAACTGGGACCTTGTACATGCCACACAAGCACTCCACCACTGACCTCTGCCCCTACCCAAATTTTCATGATTTTAATGATGCTGTCACCAAGGAAGGCGTGGTCTTTTCCTCAACCTTTAAGGCTTTCGCACTGTAGATTGGACACTAACATCTAGCTTTAAAAGAGCCATAAACTCAAGACTCCCACAATCGAGGAGTCAAGCAGGTGATGCCACATCAATTCCAAGACTGCTCTCCAGTGCCAAGGGAGGCTCATGAATTTGAAGCCAGTCAGAGCTAAATAGCAGGGTCCTGACTCTAAATAAGTTTAAATAAGATTACAAAACAAATATGTTAAATACACCCAAGGAAATATCTGCCTTCTAATTTGAATCTCAAAAACTATAAATATGTACTAAATGCCATGCTAAGGTTTAAAACAGTGAACCCAGGCACCATGGATTACCAAGAAAGCATAATCCACAAAGGAAGTGGTCAGAGGACTGTGAGGGCTTCAGAAGGCAGCCACTCCCAAGACTGCTCAGAAAACAGCAGTAAGCCATAGATCAGGCTGACCTTCCTCAAGGAGGAAGAATGCGTGTGGGGAAACTAATGGGTGAGCAGAGATGGGCTAGTGGGAAAGATGGACAGCCATCTTCCGTGTTTCCTTCCAAGACAGGGTCTTACACAGCCCAGGCTGCTCTCAATTTGGATCCCTCCTGCCTCCACCTCTGAAGGGCTGTGATTACAGGTGTGTACCACCACACCTACCTTCATGTGGTGCTGGGGATGGAACCTAGGGCTTTGTGCATGCCAGGCGAGCACTCTACCACAGGAGTCACAGCCCCAGCCCAGAGCTCTCCTTGTTCCTAGTACAGCAGAGCCAACCTCAATCACAAATCACATAATCAAAAGGGATGCTCACATTTCTGAAAATACAGAGCTTTTCTCCTTCAATAATGCAAAATGCTTTCTGCAGAAGTTATCACTGTTACCTTAAGCACAGCTTGTGACTGACAGGCAGAGTCCAATCATGCTACACAAATGACCTGGAAATCTAATCTTAAATATTTGTAACACACAGAGCTGGGAGAACTGAGTGAAGAGTGTTCATGACACATCCCTAGTGCACGTCGACAGTGAGCTGCAAAGATTCAGAGAATGCAGTTATGGGTTCCTAGCAGAAAATGATCCAGATACTTGAATCCTATCATGTACGTGAACAGCATAAATTTCATGGAATCGAGCCCATGACTTAGTTTCAAAATGCAGTCACGCGCTGACCTGAGTAGCGGGAAGGGTGTAACGTCTTCCTCTTTCTTTTTTTAGGATGTTCATTCATATCTTCTCACCCTAAAAAATGAAAGACATTTAACAAACTTGGTGCAGTAGTATGATGTTATTCTAAATAGTCTTTCTAGTCAAAGAATTTATTAACAATAAGAAATGTAGCACATGAAAATAATCTTGTAAGAACATTACAGAATGCCTCTATTAAAAGCATTGCTTCCCAGGTCACCCTGAACTGTGGGACTCTGTCTCAAACAAACAGCCAGGTGTGGTATCCCTTGCCTTTAATCCCAGCATTCCTAAGGCAAAGCAGGTGAATCTCTGTGAGTCTGAGGCTAGCTAGCCTGGTCTACAGAGAAATTCTAGTCCAGCCAGGGCTACAGAGAGAGACCCTGTCTCAGGAGAAAAAAAAAAACCAACAACAAAAAAACCAACCAACCAACCAAAAACCAAACAAACAAGCCATTATGCAATCAATGCCTAGGGGCATACCACAGATTTCTACAGATTTCAGGCAAAACATGGATGTATTTCCTTTAAAATATGTCATCAGTCTATATTAGCACAATGGCTTCAAGAAAGTACACACTGCACTGAATCTTCGAAATCAGTAATTTTCAAGCTGGAGAGATGCTCAGCCAGAACACTGGCTGCTCTTGCAGAGGACCCTGGTTCTGTTCCCAGCACCCACATGGCAGCTAACAACCATCTATAACTCCAATTCCAGGGGAATCTGATGCCCTCTTCTGACCTCTGTGGGCATTGCATAACACAGGTGCACTTACATACACGCAGGCAATGTGCTCAAATACAAAAATTTAAAAATTACAAAAATATTAATAATTTTCAAGAAAACACATTTACTAGGTGACATTCTACATTCTACCGAGACAATTTCCATGAAATGTCAGAAAATTAATGAATCAGCCTCATTGCCTCCCACTTACTTGGTGTGACTCCCAAAACCTCAGTGAAGAAAGGTGAATTACAGGTGAGTTTCCACAGATGGCAAAAACCTGGTCAGACAGCAGCAGCCACGTCAGCGAGACGCCCTCGGTCAAACTCCCAAGTACAGCGCCACCATACTTTAACACACAAAGAATGGGCTCAGGTAGTTTTTTAAACACTAAAAATTGTATATATTGTACATGATATTCTATGTACATTTTTCTAATTTCTTTTACATGAATTTACCTTCTTAATAGATAGCTATCTTGAAGCCAAAATACCACTATAAGTCTGCATTAATTTATTCTGCTATAGGAAATCACAAATGAAATCTAATACTGAATTGCAGCCCTGAAATGTCCAGATTAAGAACAACTTCCTTAGCACTGATCAAAGCCAGACAGTGAGGACCTGCATTCACCCCTGGGTTATGTGTTAGCCACATTGACTCAGAATGGTTGGTTATTCCTTGCTATTGATTAGTAAACTGAGACCTAATAAAGTTAAGGCAGAGCTGGATATTCAATAAGTGGTGAGGGTGGATTTGATCAGAAGTCTAGCCAATTATTGTTTTGTTTTTTGGTCTTTTTTGAGACAGGGTCTCCCTGTAGCCCCAGCTAGCCTGGAACTTCCTATGTAGACCAGGCTGGCCTTGAACTCAAGAGATCTGCCTGCCTCTGCCTCAGGAGAGCTGAGATTAAAGGCGTGCGCCACCACGCCCGGCCTCAAGTCTAAACAATTTTAAAGCCCATGTTTTCTATTCCCTTATTTTAGTTTTGGAAACAAATATGGAATAAAGCGAGCAACCTAATTCCAAAGGCTTGTGAAAACCAGAACTGCTTCTCCCATCTGTCCACACAGAGCTGCACCCCGAGTGCTGGTTTTCTTCTTTCCCTTCTTCCTTTTTGTTTTCAGACAGGGAGGGTTTCACTACATAGTGAGTAGTGGTCTAGCCTTGACTCATAGTCCTACTGTCCCAGCCTCTTGAGTCACTTCACTGCTTAGCCAAGGTGATCTCTCGTGTCTACTGGAATCTACCTTGAGTGTGCATACTGCTCTGGTCTATCAGCACTGTACTGTACTCCATCACAGTGATGAGACAGCACTCTCCTGACTCTTCTGCTACCCAAAGACATCTTCTTCCCAACAACCCTGTGAGGAGCCCACAAGCACTATCCAACACACCTCACTTTAACCAAGAAGAGACTGGCTCGGTTAAAGCCAAGGACAACACAGCAGAATCCAAGATGAAACATCCATCTTCTGACTGCTGGGTGCTGAGTAACTAGCTGTGTGCGTGTAGATCCTCACTGCTCCGCACTGGCACCTGCAAATTCATTCTGGTCCAGCTCACACATACGGCCCAGTGCAGGGAGGTAACCACCTGAAAAACTGAAACCATGGGACTTATAAACCCCAAGGGTCATTCCAGAATTTACATAGCCAACAGCTTCACACTTCATGTTCTAGTAGACAGGCTAAGGTCAGGGAGAACACTGAAAACATGTGAATAGAAAAACAAAGGGAGCTGGAGAGATGCTCAGGGGTTAAGAGCACTGGCTGCTCTTGCAGAGGACCGGTTTTGGTTCCCAGCACCCACATGGCAGCTGACAACCATCCATAACTCCAGTTCCAGGGGATCCAACCCTCTTGTGACCTCCAGGGCATTGCACAACATGGGTGCACTTACATACATGCAGGCAATACACTCAATACATATAATCTAAAAATAATAAAATAAAAAAAAACAAATACCTGATATATTTGTTAGCATCTCTCTGCACCTGGGGTTTTCAAGCAACAAGTGTAGAAAACACATAATGTGTTCACTAAAGAGACGGAATGAGATGTCTTCATACAATACACAATAAGCACATGGGCGGTTACTCAGTGCCCACTTAAGATTTTTAATTATACATGTATGTGTGTGCAGGAACCAGTGTAGTCCAGGAGAGGGTGTTAGAATCCCCTGGAGCTGGACATAGAGGCAGTTGGTTACCCGAGGATAATGTGGGTGTTAGGACCCAAACGCAAATCCTCCCATATTTTTATTTTCATTTTATATGTATGAGTGTATTGCCTGCATGTATGTGAGTGCACTCGTGTCGTGCAATGCCATGGAGGTCAGAAGAGGGCTTCGGATTCCCCTGGAACTGGAGTTAAGGGCGGTTTGCAGCCTCCATATGGGTGCTGGGAATTGAACCTGGGTCCTCTGCAAGAGCAGTCAGCACTCTTGACCACCGAGCCATCTCTCCAGCCCGTCCGCTTTATTTAAAAATACTTTATTATTATGTGTATGAGTGCATCGCCTGCATGTGTGCAATGCCCAGAGTCAGAAGACGGATCCCCTGGAACTGGAGTTACGGACGGTTGTTAGCCACCATGTGGGTGCTGGGAACCGAACTCAGTCCTCTCCTAGAGCAGCCAGTGCTCTTAACGGCTGTGCATCTCTCCAGGCCCCTCAGCTGCATTTCCAATGCTGTCAAAACACTTTTTCCCTTTCATAAAAACAAAGTGTAAGAATTTTCAGGACTGGCGAGGTAACTCAGAAGGCAAAGGTGCTTGTGGCCCGGCCTGACGACCTGAGTTCGACTCCGGAGCCCCCAGGGTGGAAGGCGAGCACCGACTCCCAGGAACAGTCTTTTTACCCCACAGGCGCCCCATGGCTCACCGGCGCAGGCACACCCGCAATCAATAAACAGTTTAAAAATTCAAACAAGCACTTTCACATTTTAATTGCGGCCCGGCGCGGTGGCACGCGCGGAGCTCGGCCCTCGGGAGGTGGCGCCGGAGGGTCAGCCTGGGCTACGCGCGGCCTGTCACCCGCAGCCCGAGAGCGCGGGGAGGGCGAGGCCCGCGGCGGGACGTCCAGAGCCGGCTGGGCCGGGATCACCGCGCGGAGGCCGCACAGCCGGACCGAGCGGCCCGCAGCCCCGCGCAGGCGCAGCTCGGCAGCCCGGCCTCATCATACGCAGCCACGCCCGGCCGCCGCTCCGCCGAGGCTGGGAGGCCGGGACCTCAGAGGCCCTCCCGGGCGACGGGTGGAGGAGGCCGCCCGGCCGCAGCCCTCGCCCGCCCCGCCGCCCGCGCCCTGCCCGCCTAGTCCGGCCGCACTCACCGCGTCGCTCCGCGCCTGCGCCACTCCGGGCCGCGAGGGGAGGAACCTAACGAGGAGGGCGGGGCCTGACGACGAGGGCGGGGCCCACCCTATCAGGGAGGGGCCTGCGGAGGGCGGGGCCTCGCGGCGGGGGCGGGGCCTACCCTGTTTCTGCCGCAGGGCAGGCGAGCCTAGCGCCCCCTGTCGGCGCCTTCCGCGGCGCCCTTTTCCACTAGCCCAGCGGGCTTCTTGCCCCGCGCGGCAGCCCGAGGTCCGCCGCTTGCACCGCGTCCGGCTTTTCGCCGAGCCGCGGGGTGGCTGTACCGAGGCCCCGCCAAGATCCCCGCGGGCTGGATACCTCCTGTGCGCAGGGCCGGGCCGCGATCTGACTCGGGTAGGCTTCGGCCTGGGCCCGGGACGCCGCGGTGGAGGGTACGAGGGCCTCCTGAGGACTGGATGCCGGCGCTGCGTCCTTACTGCGCGCAGACCGGAAGGTCAAACACGAGCCCGACTGCGCGCCGTTTTCCCTGGGATCGCTGGAGCTGGGGCTGGAGCCCCGCGGCGTGTGCCTCGCAGGGCGCGGCTGGGGTTCGAGCCCCCAGTACTGCAAATAGCGGTCAAGGCGGCCGTGCCGAGCGCACAGTCGAACCTGCTGGGAGTGGAGTAAGAGCCGGGCGTGGCGCACGCCTTTAATCCCTGCACTCGGGAGGCAGAGGCAGGCGGATCTCTGAGCGATCCAGGCCATCCTCGTCTACACAGCGAGTTCTAGGCCAGCTGGGGCTACAGGAACCTTCCCCCCATAAAGAATGGAATCTGGGCCTCTACCCTGGAGCTACCCCCAAGTCCTCCAGTTCCAGATTGAAGATGTCAGTACCAATTACAGATTAGACAAGCTGAAGACTCTTAGTTTTGTAGGCTAAGCACCCAGCTGACTAGGTCCTGACCGCGTGCAGTACTGCTCAAGGTCATTTGCAAGGTCGGGACTGCGGCTGCCGCCCCGCCCTACGGCTGGCGGTGCCCTCCCGGGTAGTCACCTGCTGCCCGGCGGAACGCCTGTCCTGCTCGCCTTCCCTCGGGAAGTGCAGCTGCGGCGTCGCTACTGGTTTCTGAGGTTCGGGGTGATGATCTCATAATCTTCATGCGCGTTCTCAGCTCAGTCCAACGAATGTTCAGGAACGCTGGTGTGCCCTGCATAAAGTAGGGAGGGATCCGCAGACGTTCATCCTAGCCACAGCATAGAGAGTCCATACATGATTGATACTCGGGTGCTGGATTCTTAAAGAGCTGTGTCCTTCCTTCCATGTTTCCCAGTCTGAATCCGATGGAGGCCACCAGAGGGCACCGTGCAACCACCATGAGTTACAGTGTTTCTCGTGCCCTGAAGTCTTGGTCGTGTGTAGTCTGTCATAATTCTACAGCAGTTTGATTCCTGAACATTTTGTAGTCAAAGGAAACACACATCCCCTTGTCCTCATTGCTTAAAAAAAAAAAAAAACTTGCACGGTGAGCATTAGGGTTTAGATGTCATGCAACCCTATCACATATAAAACGCAGCTTGGAGTTCTTTGATTAACTGGGGTCTTTGCAGGTCCTTTTCCAGGTCTCCCCTCTCCTCGTCTTACCCTTAAGAGGGGGCAGCTGGGGTAAAATCGCTATGTTAGGCCATGCTGATCTGTCTCCCTCCTCCTCAGAAGTTGTGAAACTAAAGGAGTGCATCACCATGCCTGGCTACTGGAACCTTCCCAAAGAAACCTTTAGCCGCCCTTCTTCCACGTTGTGTCTCACTTGTAGCATCCTCAGCCCTTTCCTGATTGAGGACGGGTAAGTTTTTAATACAACCAAGACAACAGAAAAATGTACAGGGTTACCACCATCCCACAGCCCTGAGCGGATGGCAATACTTTCTTCCATGCCTTCCATTACTTTTATACTTGTATGCATATATTTTTATGCACTTTTAAAGATTAATTACTTTGTTTGATGGATATGAATGTTTTGCTTGTATATATGCAAGTGCCCACAGAGGCCAGAAGAGGGTGTCAGATCCCCTAGAATTGGAATTACAAGTAGGTTATTAGCTGCCATGTTGGTGCTGGGAGCCAAAACTTGGGTCCTCTACAAGAGCAGCCAGTACTCTTAACCACCAAACCATTGCTTCAGCCCCTATATTTTTCTTAAACTCAAATCATTAGGGAGCTGGAGTCAGCTCAGAGGTCAAGAGCACTGGCTGTTCTTGCAGAGGTCTAGGATTCAGTTCCCAGCACCCACGTGGTGGTTAATAACCATCCATAACTCTAGTTCAGGGGCTCTGACACTCTCTTCTGGCCTCCATGGCATTGCACAACCTGGGTGCACTTACATGTATACAGGCAAAACACTCATACACATAAAAGAAAAATAACTCAGCTTGGCATGGTGGCATATGCCTTTAATACCAGTACTTGAGAGGTAGAGGCAGGTGGATCTCTATGAGATCAAGGCCAGCCTAGGCTACATCGCCAGTTCCAGGCCTGCCAGGGCTACATAGTGAGAGACCCCATCTTTTTAAAAAATCTATTAGAATTGCTATTGATGTCAATGGTGTTTTAAAATTCTTACTATAAGCACTCTTCCCATTTCCTGTACATAAGCAGGGGTAAGCAGGATGTTCATTCTACTGTAAATAAGCCAAGATGAGTAAGTGGAAGGGAGGGGCAGGAGGAGGCCAAAAGTTTGAAGCCTTCCTTCCTAGTGTGGAATGAGCTCTAAGCCTGCCAGTGCTATAGAAAGAGACTCAGCCTCGAACAACAGCAATGACAAAAGGCAAGGGTTGGGGAGTGTGGTTTTACTCTAATCAGCAGCTCTTGGGCTCTTCCTTACAGCCCTGGGTGCCTTAAGCGAGAGAACTGCCAGTCAAACAGACATGGACATGCTGAAGCCAGTGCCAGACATCCAGAATACTCCAGGCAGCCAAAGAAAACTGCCTGATAATCCCCACTGATGGCCCTGGTTCCTGAGAGCACAGCCTCCATCAGGGCTGGTAGAAACATTCTGAGCCGGACGCCAGACAGCTTGCCATGACAAGCCTCCTAATACTAGGTGACCTGCCACTGTTTCTACCTGGTGGGGAGGAGGAGCTCTCCCCTGGTGAACTCCCATGGGGAGTGCAGGTCTGATGCTAAGAAGCAAAGTTCCTCCTATATGTGTGGTGTACTGTGACTGGGTCCAAACCCAAAACTGTATTTGCATGTGAAGTGTGATGTTATTGGTCCAAGCACCCTTTCTGATGTTACAGAAGCAAGACACAAAGATCACTCAGTGAGTCCACTGAGAGACACACTCCTGCACTGTCTCTCCAGGTGTTATCCTTAGGCCCAATAAAAGGCCTTTCTCAAGTGTCCTTTCCTTACTTGCTTTCAGGAGCGAAGGTTTAACTGCTAACACGGAGAACGAGGCAGCAGGGACCGGAGTGAGGTGGTGATGGCAGAGACGGCAGAGCGGTGGCGAGCGGTCTACAGGCTGAGCTACGGAAGAGGCAGACAGCTAAAGCCAGAGCCGAACAGTTCTAGAGTGACCAGAACAGGGAAGAGAAGAATGCTGGGAGTAGACAGAGGGCAGAGAGCCGAGGCTGAAGAGACATAAAAGTCTAAGAGGGTGCAGTCCTGGCCACCACAGGACTTCCAGAGCCTGAATCAGGGCCAAGAGCTGAACTAGCTAGAGTTAAGGCAGAAGAACCCTAACTTTCTATCCCTGTATAAGAGCTTAACACCTGTAGAGCTGAGTCCCACAGGAGAGCCCTGAGAAGGGCCCCCACCTGCTGCTGCTCTGTCTGCCTCCTGCTATTACTCACTGTCGTCAAACACTGAGGGCAACAAAAGCTGCAAAGATCACACTGGAGGCTTTCTCCTGGCCCACCTGTGTAGGCAGGGCAGCGAGACCCTCAGCCAGTTGAACCGGAAGGACATCGGACAGTACCATGACTGGCCAGGCCTGGCGACACAAGCCTCTAAACCCTGCTCCTTGGAGGCTGAGGCAGAACATCACTTGCAGAATACATGTTATGTGCCTGTGTTTATGGGACTTGAATTGATTAAAGCCCTTACCTATGAGAACAGAAGTCTTCAGGGTCAGACAGATGTTCCCTGCACCGTGGGCTGTGGCTAGGGAGAGCTTCTCAGGAGGAAGGCTGGCAACCAAAAAGGGGCATACGGCAAAGGGAACAAGAAGCAAACCCAGATGGTTTCTCTCGTCCTAGTTCTTTTCTGTTGCTGTGACAAATACCCTGACACAAAGCAGCTTAGGAGAGAAAGAATTGATTTCAGCTCACAACTCCAGGATACAAAGCCAGGAGAGGTGTTGTGTGCCTTTTATCCCAGTACTCGGGAGGCAGAGGCAGGGGGATCTCTGTGAGATGGAGGCCAGCTGGGGCTATGGGAAGACCCCGACTTGAAAAAAAGCAAACAAATAATTCCAGGTTACAAGCATTACTTGGGGGAGTCAAGGTGACAGGAACTTGAAGCAGTTGGTCACATGACGACCAGTCAAGAGCACAGAAATACACGCAAGCTTACTACTCAACTAGCTTTCTCCAGTCTGACACAGTCCAGGACCCAAACCCGGGGAAGCATGCTCCCCACAGTGGGCTGGGTGTTCCCATATCAGTTAACAAGAGACAATGCCCCCACAGGCATGCCCACAGGCCAAGTTCATCAGTCTGGTTGTGGCAAGTTGACAATTACAGCTGACTGTCACGACTGTGGAGTTTAGATTTAATCCCACAACAGTGAGAAGTCATTGATTGGTGGGATAACCATCAGGTTTGTATTTGATGGTGATTTCTAGTATGATGTGGGGTAAGGATTGCTCCCTAGAGATGGAAAAGTTACACACAATCACACTCTTCTGGGATAAGGAGGATAAAGAACAGACTTTGGGCTAAAACACAAGGAAGGAGTGAATCCGGCCAAGAAGGACGCACCACTTGACTTGGATTTATTCTTTCCGATCTCTGGCCAATCACATGGTGCCCACCATCACTGAGGGTGGCTTTTCCCAACCTAAGCTATCCTCCTCTGGACACACCCTCCGAGACACACTCAAAATAATGCTTGGAGGGGGCCTGGGAATGCTAGCCAGTAAAGTGCTTGCCTCATACGCACAAAGCTGTGGGTACGGTCTCCAGCCCGACACAAACTAGGGCATGGTGGCACATGCCTGTAATCCCAGCATTCAGGAGATGGAGGGCAAAGCATGAGAAATTGGAGGTTATCTTTGGCTACACAATGAGTTTGCAGTCAACCTGGGCTACATGAAGACCCTGACTCAAAAACAAATGCTCTTCTAGTTTGTAGATATTCCTTAATCAGGTCAGGTTAGCACCTAAAAGTAACTACCAAACCTTACCAAAAAGAAATCTGACTTTAAAATGTACATTTATCAGTTTAATATAAGCAGAACATTATTAAAACCATAACGGACTGGAGAGATGGCTCAGCGGTTAAGAATACTGACTGTCCTTGCAGAAGACTGGGGTTTGAATCCCAGCACCCACATGGCAGCTAACAACTGTCCATAACTCCACTTGCAGGGGATCTGACAGCCTCTTCTGTCCTCCGCAGATATTGCATGACACAGGTGCATTTACCTACATGCAGGCAATACACGAATACACATAAAATAAAAATAATAAGTAAAATATTTTTTAAAAAGAATAATTTTAGGGCGTGGTGGCGCATTCCTTTAATCCCAGCATTCGGGAGGCAAAGGCAGGTGGATCTCTGTGAGTTCAAGGCCAGCCTGGTCTACATAATGAGTTCCCGGACAGCTGGGGCTACAGGGAGACCCTGTCTCAAA